CACTATTCTGGTTACAGGGCCTCAGTTACTCCCTCTTACCAGCAACTTCACCAGATTGCAAGCTTTATCCTCGACCCAACAACCCAGAGTACCATTTTGTGATATAACAAACTCTCCTAGTAACCCTTTTGGGGATGGTGGGCATGCCAGAATTCCGAGTTGTGTTAATACGAAAAGACTGGGAGAGATTTGTAGTAATGATGGCATCAGCGATGGGTCAGTATGGATGGAAGCAGAGAACACAGATGGGGAATGCAAGAGAGGCATTTTAGAGGCTGGTAATGAATGCGACAAGACGTCAGAACTTTATGCCGAAATGCTCAGGGAAACTCATGGCTGTGAACCATACTTGTTTTGTTTCTAAAGACAAGCATTCTCTATGTCGCTTTATAGAAGAGGAGGATGAAGATTTGTGAAATGGTTAAGGTACAGTATCTCATTTGTTATCTGCTGTGGCTCAGACTCTAATCATATATCCCTTCATATTATGGATCAATGAAATTTGACCAGGTTTGAGTGCAAGAAATATTTATCAGGTGCAAACTGTGTGAATAAAGTGTGGGAGGCAAAAATTATCAGTGTTTGCATGGCAGTGGACAGAAAAATAGATGTTATTTTGAAGCAGGTGCTACTATATAAAATACACCAGGTACACAGACAAAAGAGAGCAACAACTAGACACCTTAGCAGTGTTAGACCTGGACAAATTTGATTGCCTTCCTAGATTGTGCCATGACGTAGTAATGCTTAATAAACTGCATGACAATGATAAGGTAAATTTGGCGTTTCCTTCCTGACACCCAAATTGGCCTTTCCGAATGGACTATTGTACCAAAACCTTCAGCAAAGTTAAGTCCTTCCAAATCACAAGGTACATATTGCATGTTCCAGCAGGCGGATTTGAACACCAATGGGATGGATTGGACTTTCACACCTTTTACTTTGTTGTTTATTTTAATTACATTTATTAAGTTATTTAATTTCTTATTATTTTCAGATGTGGATAATGAATAGCCTCCCTTATCTAAGGCAAATTGTTTTTTTTAGAATAGGGTTTCAAACTTATACATGTACATGCTAATACACATATATGCACACCAACCTACTTACACACACACACACTCACACACACTTACGCACACACACACACGCACACGCACACACACACACACACACACACACACACACACACACACACACACACACACACACACACACACACACACACACACACACACACACACACACACACACACACACACACACACACACACACACACACACACACACTCACACTCACTCTCTCACACACTTACTCTCACACACTCACGCAAATGCTTAAACTTACACTTCAATACAGACCTGTATTTATTTTCTCTATCAATTGTTGCTCCTATGAAATTAATTAGAGGTAGTTCCTTTTTAACTTTTTAGTATTCAAGTATATGCATTAAAGGATAATATATAGTGATGGAAATGATGCATCTTAGTGACTGTCAGGTACACAGATGTCATAGAATGCATACTCAAAGATAAAAATGAATCTCTGAATAAGTGTCCTGAAAAAAAATCCTTGACTTTTTAAAATATTGGCTTCATGAATGTTAGATAAAATAGGCAAAAAAACTTATTTCTGTTTCATCCTCTCTTATATTATTGCCATCAGCTGAAGTTCAAATACCTATAAAGAGGCTTAGCCTGGCCTATTATTAATGCCTGGATATGTTTGGAGGAATCTAGATTTAGCTCAAAGACTCCCATCATGTATGATATGATATATTATACAGGGATACTCATTGAATAAGACTTGGGCAAATGAAATCTCAGAAATAAGCAGAGACCAGTATTCAAAGAAAGTACTATATAGAGATATTTTTATAAAAAAAAAATGCATTATTTTAGATCCAGCAAACCCAATAAAGACCTTAAATCTATGGATGACTGTTATTGATTTCTCTATCTATTGTCTTTATATGTTGGCGTGTAATCTTAGCTTTTATGCAAGCCCTAGAGATCCAATGTGGACTTCAGGCTCAGTGACACTTCTCACCATAAGCAACAGCAAGGTATGGCTCTGAGACTTTTTTCAGAAGTTATATGTATCTTTATCAATCAGCATTATAACCAAGCTGTTGAAATTACATATTTTACTTAGTACACTTTGCCCTTAAAGGTAATCTAGCTTGAACAGTCAAGGCATTCATAATCAGTTTCACTGGAGTATGTTGAGAGCTGCTTCCTATTTTACCAAGAATAGAGATACATTCTTTAAGAAAATTTATTGGATTAATCAGTACCCTCCTGACTCTATTGCTACTTCCCATTATAGTTACTTTATATAAATATATAACTTTTTCTGTTGATATTACTGTGATCATCAGCAAACCTATTGACTGCTGTTATTTTAGATAGGAAAAGTAATTTTAGGTTGTTCGCTTCAGTCTCTGTTGTCATAGAATTGTTGGAAAATATCTTGGTCCTAAACAGGAACATTCATACT